TTTTATTAGGTCTCTGGCAACAGAGAATGCATATTAGATAGAAGGATATATTTACTGAGCAAAGCTGACTAATATATGCAAACAGAGAAACAAGAGTGGTACAATGGATTTGGTTTTTGAATATTAACAAGTTAGTCAATTATCTTTGGGGGCTTTTATTTTTGTTTCTGTTTTTTTTTTTTTAATTGTAGTAAAATGGTCATTGAATTTGAATTAGAAATAATAAGTTTTTTAATGTTTGTTGTTTGTAAACATATTATTTAAAATCTCTGAATGCTAGCTTTTTGAAATTGATATAATAATAATCAATGGGGGGGCACCTAAGTGGCTCAGTCAGTTAAGCATATCCCTTCAGCTCCTGGGATGGAGCCCTAAGTCAGGACCTGGGATCAAGCTCTGAGTCAGGACCCAGGATAGAGCCCCAAGTCAGGATCCCTGCTCAGTGGGGGGTCCACTTTTCTCTCTCTCTCTCTTTTTCTCTCTGCCCCTCACCCTGCCCCCCTCGTACTCTCTCCCTCTCTCAAATAAATAAATAAAATCTTCTAAAAATAATAATAATGCCATCAATGAAAGGCTATAGCAAAAATCACATATAAAAATATGTAAGGTCTTTGTAAACAACAAACAAGCAAAAATTTTATTTTTGCACATGAATGCATGTATAGATACTAAACTATAATGGAGCATATACTGCTCTTATAACTAAATATTTCTATAAAACTTATGAGTTTAATAAACTTTAATCATAAATATTGAATTTAGGAACAATTCAAAGGAAAAAATTAATTTACTTAACTTGAGGATTTCATTTTTTCAATTCAAAGCTAACACAATATTTACTTACTTTTAAAATTTTTTATATTGTGAAATATAAAATACTATATGACTAATGGTCTAAAATAAATATTTAGATTCTAAAGAACACCAGTGTAATGATCACCCATTTTAAGAATTTCAGTATTGTCATTTTCTTAGAAATTCCCCATGTTCTATGCTAAAAATACTATCCTTCTTACTTCCTCATAATCACCACCTTGATTTTTGTTATAGTCATTTCCTTGCTTTTCTTTAGGTTTATCAACCATCTTTACATATGCATCTCTAAATAATATAATTTAGTTTTGTGAATTTCTTACAACAGAATCATATTGTGTGCAAATTTTTCCTGTGTTCAGTTTCTTTCACTTAACATTCTGTTTGGAGATTCATCTATGTTGCTACGAGTGGCTATGTTCCTGTTAATGTTATATAACATATATATATATATATATATATATATATATATAAAGTATACCTGAATTGATCAGTATCTTTTTTATGTTTAATGTCTGGTGTTTTAACAAATTCTTACATATCCCAATATCATGAAATACATGTTTTCTTCTAAAAATATATCTTTTCTTCTAGAAACAACATTTTTCCCTCTCTATGTAGATCCTTATTCCATAGAAAGTAGATTTGTATATATGGTACAAGGAAAGGATCTGATTTCTGCTTTCCTCATATGGATACCCAAATTACATACCATTTATTCAAAAGCTCACCCTTTTCCATAGATTATTTCATATACCCCTGTCATATACGAAATGTCCATACATTTGTTTATCTTTCTAGACTATCTTGTCCTTTGCACAGTATTTTTTAAATATAATTTTTTTTCAGAGAACATGACCACGAAAACCAGCAAGGCACAGCATTTAGCATTTATTTCAATTGTGTCTTATTCTCACTCAAATTTTGTTTTGAAAAATTGTTTCAAGGAATTTAATTGTAGTAATAGGATATATCTTTATATTATCTTGGAAGATTATAAAAAAAATCAGAATTTTCCCTATGATTCACTTGTAAATGTGCTTAAACAAAGAATATTAGAAGTTTGGCAAAGAGAAAAAGGGCTTTTACATTGTATCACCATATTTGAAGATCTACATGTGTGAAATGTTTCTTTTATGGAAATAAAAATCACCTCCCTATGACCATAGAACTTATAGCTCTGATTCAAGATAACTCTAAGTTTGAGTTACTTAAAGTGAGTTCCTTGTCCAGAGCTCTTATAATTTATGAAAAGAATGAGAATCTCCAGGCCTGGAACAAATTATGCATTTGCTGGTAGCCACAGTGCCTAAGGGTATTTCTAGAACATAATAACTAATTACATGGCTCCAACTTATTAAGGGACCAAATGTGCTACTATTCTACACTTCCGAGTGGACAAAATTTCTCCCAGCAAAGCCCATTTTCTAAAAGTGAGAGTACTTAAAATACCTATGCTTAGGTTCTATTATCAATCTTCAGCTAAGAGGGAAAGATAGCTAAAAATCCAATTTTTAGTGTTAACCAAGTAACAAGCGTTAACAAGTTCATTCTAGATCTTCCAATTCAATGATCTACTCATAAAATAATCATTTCTTAAGTCATAGTGTTGTGTCAGAACAAAATCTAAAAATTCTTTATAATTATAACAAATAAAAATACAAATATAAGCCTTGTTAATTGACAAAAATGCATTTGTCGAAAAAATAATGGCACATTTTTTTCCTCTAAGTCTTGATCATGATCCTAATAATAATGTTCAATGGTTATGATCTATCTGTTCTATATTTGAGGTGAAAAGAAAAGAATGTTGGTGGCGAAGGAGATAAAATGAAGACAACTGAAAGAGATTTGACCTAGTTATTTTAACGGGCTTAATAGGTTTTATATTGAGAACTAATGCCTTTCAGAAACTATATCAATGCAACACCCCACATGAAGGAGCTTATGGCAGTAATAATAAACACTAGTAGAATTTGGCTGATCACTTTTTGAAATTATGTGGTCTTTTAAAATGGTTAATCTAGCACTTAATATGGAAAAATATTAATTTTCCAGCTGTGTCTCTTCAATACTCACAAATTATTTCAGGGCAAACATTTATAAAAGATAAAGTCTATAATAATTATTTTTTAAGACAAATACTTTTAAAAGTAAAAACAACAACAAAAATTATTTTAATCCTTAGATTTGAGATTCTCTAATATCTCAGAAACAAGTTTAACTTCACCAGGAAAAATGCTGACCCATTATATTGGATGCATAGGTGGATAGAATTCTCTGAATTTTAGGTAAATACTAGTTGGATAAATGAAATATCTCACTGTTCTGACACAAAAGGAACCCTCATAAATATATTATATTGTTCATTGTATAGCAACCATCAACAAATATAGCATCATTAAGCAATGTTTCAAAGGTAACATAAGAAGTTATAGCCTGCTCTTGGCAGGGCTAAAGGGATGTTGTATTCCATTGTTTATAAACAGACAAGTCCAATACATATTTATTCAAAACCCAAAGGCAAAAACATAGGAAGGATGAGGAGTATAGGGCTAATGAAGGTCTTTAAGAATACAGTCCCGTAAAGACTAAAGGTTATATATGAGCTTTGCAAACACATCCCAAGGCATTATTTTTCATTACCTTTCACTATGACGATCCAAATAATGACTGTTTCATTCAACTTAGAACCTCTGAAGACATGTCAAGCCATGTTTCCAACTCACAGCTCATCGACCAATAAGCTGAGCCAAACAATCACACACAAGACAACATCTCAGACCTCCCAGAGATGCCAATAGATCATGGAGACACGCTCTGGGTTAGTTTGACAGACTGTTAAAAATCCTCTTGCAAGATGCTGAAATATTAGACACTCTTACAATCTTAAATTCAAGTAGCTCCACACAATTTGTAAAGGAAATCTGGCTAAACCAACAAACACATGTAAAAAGGAATAAGCTAGAATCATATTATATTGACTGTTTCCTGCTGCATTTCAGAAAGAAAATCTTTAATATTTGTCATGTCATTTTTTTAAAATTAGGATAAATCTTTTTATAGACTTGTGACCATGCTCTGACTGCCTAGTCTAAGGGATTTCTTATTAAACACACACACTCACACACACACACATAGAGCAGTGTGATTTCATGGAACTTGCTCAGTACCTTCAGTCTGTTCTGTAAATATGCACTGCTGATAGGATTTATAAATTTCTCGCAATGCTGTATAAAAGACTACATACAGACCAGAAGCACAGTGCCCTCTGGTGCACATACAACATAAAATAAAATATTTATATAACAGTATCTACATAGATACAGACATAAAAATACAATGCTCAGTTTTGCTTCTACATAAATGCTAAAACCAACTGCTGGGAATTGTAAATTTCTATCATGAAGAAACAAACCAAACTGATAACTTTATGTAAAACATTCTTTATGGCAAAGATCAATACAATCTAATCCAGTCAGGGAGCCATTTGTACACTCTTCTATTTAATGGATTCACTGGGCTTGGGGAAAGCAGGCAGTCTGTTAGACTTAATATATGACTCCTTTTGTGTAACTTATTTAGATTCAAATACTAAGAACAGTTAAAGTTAAAGGCCGTATATCTCAACCCCCTCCTTTTTCTTGGCCTTTGCTGGCATGTCACATTTATCTGCTACTTCTTTTTAACCCATCTTCATTTTCCCCTTTTTACCTTTAAGGGGAAAAAGAATGAGGTGACTTAACTTCTCAGTGACTAGTAGAAGATACCATTTCCATTTAAACTAAAAAAAAAAGGTAACATAGCATGGTATAAGGTAGAAAGGAATCTCATTCATTGAGATTTGATGAAGCATTTGGCTATTTAAAATGATAAACTCAACCTCAAAGTTAATTAGAATTTACTTTAGGGAGTGAAGTGTAACATTCCTAGAATTTGAGAGTGATGAAAAACCGGTCACCATTACTAGTTTCTTGGGTTTTTTTAATTATTATTATTTGTTTTCAATAGCTTGTTACATTTATAAGAAATACTTTTAAATAACAAGAAAACAGTACTTGTGGATGGTAAATAATAACCCTTCTGGTAGTAACCCTTTCCCGTCTGAAACTTTCCCTTAGAGAAACTTAATTACATACAACTTTCAAGGAAGATAGCTCTATAATTGCTTTCCCTTTGCTTCATACCTGTATATCTTGTATCTTGTGCTAAATCCCTGCCGGCTTCTGTCCACAAAATCTGTGTATTCCTGTGAGCGATGGAAGGGTCCCTTATCAGAGAGGAGCCAGTCGAAGGGGCTTGTGGCATGCTGATCCGAAACAGCAGCAACCGCTAAAACCCAGCAATGAAGACTCAGGGCTATCCACTCCCATAGAGCCATCAGAGAGAACAATTCAGCACCAGCTCTGCTCCGCCATATCATGCTTCCACTGGGGATTTAGAGCCTTCATTCTCTTAGCTTTCCCTCAACACCTAGACAAAATACACAGGCAATTAGTTAGCCCCTAGAAGATTCTTTTCTAGCAATTCAGGTGCTGAGGTGGGAAATTCCTTTTTGGTTAAATCTAATACCATTTGTTTCAAATTACATGATAGTGAAAGTGAATACTAAGTAAAACAAAGTAGTATCTCTTTTTCCGAAGCTCTATGTCTTTCAGACTTTGTGTCCTTCTGTATTCAATGGAAAATAAGTCACTGAGTCGTAACAGACTTGGTCATGACAGCGTCATACAGCCACAATTGGTTTGGACAAATACTTTTTTGCTTATGTGTCTGTAACATTGGACGCTTTCAAAATAAATATTGAATATGTTTAATTATCTCATAAACTGTGCTATGAATTTTAATATTAAGTGTTTTATTGTTTAATTGCTCAAGAAAAAATGCTTTAAAAATGAATTAAAGATATTCAGAAACTGAAAAGAATAAAATTGTGGGCCTAAAAATACATAAATAAATTATTGTGTTTATATATGTATGTGTGTCTGTCTACCTATCAATTATCTATCTCTATATATAGATGGATGGATGGATGGATGTGTGGGGGTGATGGGTAGGAGGGGAGATCTGTGTGTTTTCTCAAATTTTTTTTTCCATTATTCTATTAAGGACAAACTTCCTTGATTATTAAAGCAGAATCATGATTAAACTATTTCTAGGACCTTTACAAAACTTAAAGGTGCATCCGTGTCTAATTCATGAGATAAACAGGCATACCTACAAAATTCATATATGCACAAATCCAAGACAATGCAGATTATACATAAACTATGAAACCACATACATTAATTTTATACACATTCAAAAATAAAGTACCAGGAGGTGCAATCCCAAAGTGGTATAGTATAAATGACTTTACACAAAGCAACTGATGTAATGTCTATATGCTACACAAAATATTCTACAAATATTTGAATTCAATTTTACTTGCCATCTTCACCAATCTTTTCCAATATCATTATTTATAGCACAAAGAACTATGCAGTATATAAATTCTGACTAATGAAAAAGTTTTGATTGTGAGAGTTTTTAGTCAACAAAATCTCTCTAGAAAGCAATCAAAAATAAAATATTTAATTATAATAGTTCTCATATTTCCCTGGTGTTTGGGTAAGGCGATTGATATTTTTAATTTGCTTTCTGGTTATAACCCTATAATTCCTAATTTAATCCTATACTATTTACATATGAAAGGCATACAGCAATAATTTCACAACTATAAAAGTATTTCAAACAGTGATACAATATGACTGACCTAAGTCATCAGATCCAGTCATACACACCACACAATTAGAAGGACCAATGCCCACATCCTGTTATGAGTTGCCCCAATCATGTGAGTTTTTCTACTGTGATAATTAAACAATGCCCTCTTTTATAAACAACAACAGAAGTTTTACAAGTAAAGACACTTTAAAAATTGTTTATCATAATAAAGGATGACATAATATAATAGAAAGGTTTTTGGAATATTAGTTGGGAGTTTCAGGATCTCCATCAATTATTTGTATAAATGTGGCACTAAAAATGATTCAATACATAATTTTTAATGCTGATTAAGAAAATAAGTACTTTTAGATATTGTTTCTTGTGTGGGAACTATACCACTTATCTTAAAATTAATATATTTCATTTATATTCATAACTAAGAATTATTACTATGTTTAATGGTATAGTATAATCCCCTTATGACTAATAAATATTTATCTTTTTTAACACATATTTTTATTCTGCTGATCAAATATATTCAAACTAGAAACATTTAAACATTATTACAAAAAAGTTATATTTTCTTATGTAAAGCATCTAGCATAGTGCCTAGAATGTTGGAAGGACATTAGGAATGCTTCAAAGTATATTTCATACTGATATGATATCATATAATTATATACCATAAAATTAAACCTAACTCTTTTTGCTCCAGCACATGATTTTGTAAGACACACAGCATTGAGAAAGTAGTATACAATTGACTTGGATGGCATATAAGGTCTCTAAAATTCAGTGATTTTTCAATATATAATTGGTCAGAACCACTCTATTTACTCTTTTCTTTACCAAATGTGTTGAAGATGTTTCATGGTTGTCATAGTTCCTAATCCTAACACAGAAGAAAATGGAAAGATTTTCTTGTATTATGTGTGGGGGAACTACCTAAAATATTAATATTAGGTTTTAATTATTTCTGTTTCTTCTACTTCTGATTTGGCTACATGCTCCTACTTCTGTTCAGTAATGGGTTTTTTCTGAAAGAAAGTTTATTAGCAATGATATTATGAGAATATCAATACTGTCCAAATTTATATTAATTTGGGGGATCTCTTGAAATCATTATAATTATAAGGTCTTTTTTAAAGACATGAACAGTAGGGGCACCTGGGTGGCTCATTCGGTTAAGCGGCTGCCTTCGGCTCAGATCATGATCCTGGGGTCCTGGGATCGAGCCCCACGTCCAGCTCCCTGCTCAGCGGAGAGCCTGCTTCTCCCTCTCCCTCTGCCTGTCACTCTGCCTACTTGTGCTCTCTATCTCTGTCAAATAAATAAATAAAATCTTTAAAAAATAAATAAATAAAAAATAAAGACATGAACAATAACCAAACTATGATACCCGACATTTCAACTCAAGCCACCTTTGAGAAACTGACTTTAAGAGTTACAAAACAGGGAGAAAAGTAGTGTTAGAATACACTAAGGCAAGGATGTATGCTTCCAAAGATCTTAGGACAAGTGGTCATTAGACTCAATGTTCACCAAAAAAAAAAAAAAAAAAAAGGACTTCATTCACCTAGTTTGTTACAAAAGCAGGTAAATGCATATTTGTAAATGAGTAGGAAATTTTAAATTATTCCTGAAAGGCCTGAATTGGTTCCTTTATTTGGTTTTGATTAATAACAATATTTACCCTTGTGTGAGAGATGAGTTTATGATATAGATTGCCAATTTCAAAAGTAGTGAGTAGGGTTTTTTTGAGAAATCTTGGAGGTCACTACTGAAGTAAACAGCTACACTTAGATGTATTACTAAGGAAGGGAAATCATGAGGCCCAATGAAAGGAAGTAAGAATTATTAAACTAATAAGTGAATTCACCAATTTCACACCCTGGAGTGTAAGGAAATGCCAAAATGATCTTGAATTTACTATTTCTGACTAAGTACCTAAGAGGCCAACTGAAGAAACTACAATGTCAATGCACAGTATATTCTGAAACATGTAAGGGTGTCTTTTATGAATTAAAAAAAAACAACAAAATATTAAAAAAACAAAAAACATGAGTTCATATTTAAAAAGTGTCATTTAATTAAAAATGGTATTGATCAAGTTTTTCTTTTCAAAAATCAAGAGGAAGCAGTAAATATTGAAATATCACATTTAAAAAAAATAGATATTTAGTACATGGCCTTCTCTTATACCAAATTCTCACCAAATAAAATTTGGTGAGAACATTATCAACTCACACTACTTTATTACTTGCAAATACTCAAAAAGTTCGTGCAGAAGAAAACACACCAAAGGAAGTTACATATATAGTAATATGCATACAGCATATAATAAATACATAAAATAATATGTAACGTGTTATATATAATATATATAATATATATTCTAGTATATAATAAATATTTCTCCTCATTAGCTCTCCTTAATCCTATTCCAGTGTGGCAGTGCATTATGTTTTATCTAAAATACTGGCATATCTGGGCACCTGTGTGGCTGATTCGTTAAGCATCTATCTTCGGCTTAGGTCATGATCCCAGGGTCCTGGGATAGAGCTCCCTGCTTAGCAAGAAGCCTGCTTCTCCCTCTCCCACTCCCCTTGCTTGTGTTCCCTCTCTCGCTGTGTCTCTCTCTGTCAAATAAATAAATAAAATCTTAAAAAAATAAAAAATAAATAAAATACTGGCATATCATATGTATTTGAAATTCATAAAATAATGGAACTTATAAAATATTTCCTATAATATTATAAATGAATTTCTAGTATAACAGAAATTACAAAGATAAAAGATTATGAATTATTGACTTAGACTTAATATCCTTTAGATTGGTGGGTCATGTCATAGAGGTTCATCTTTTAGACCACATGATCTAATATCTAGTTGAATGCTCAAAACTAATTATTACTATTTGTTGAACAATTAATATTGCATACTCTATAATTCCTTCTTTTAGGTTTGCATTTGAACTGATTTTTGTTGCTAAAATGTTCAAAATAGTTTCTCAGGAAATAAAACCCACTTACAATCTTGCATATGCAAAGAAGCTTCATAAAATAATTGTGTCAAAGAGATTTCTTTTTCTTTAATTTTGAAAAATTTAAAACCTACAGGAAAGTTGAGAGGCCAGTACAGTAAACACATATATCCTTCAGCCACATTTACCAATTATTTACGTTTTACCACATATTCTACTCTCTTTCTCAATCCCATATTTTTTTATGGAGCAAGGGTCTAAGGAAAATTGACTCCTTGGCTGCAGATAATACACCCATTTTCCATATTCCTCATCTTCAGCAACTGCTACACTGCACTATAAAATAGCTCCTTAATATTCATGAATCACTAATATTGGATTTTGTAAGTATAAAAAGTTAAATCTTCAAAATAAAGTTTCCAATTCCTAAAATGATTGCATTTATTAAAAAGCCACAGTCTTCTTTAATAATCTAAAGGAATATATATTATTCTATTAAAGTATAAATATTAGAATATTTTTATTAGAAAATAAATATATTTGTATATAATGCTCCCAGAATCTACTAAAACATATAGTATATTATTATATTATCATACCATATTATATATGGTATTTTATTACATATTAGAATAAATGTTGGGTCTGAAGTAAATATCTACTAAATAAACACTGTATAAGTAAATGAATGATGGAAGTGTTAAAATACATTTTTAACTGTAAATTTTCAATAGTTTTTCCAAATAGTTATAGTTTATATTTCTTTTTAGTAGAATTACTA